AATGATAGATTGGATGGAATAGATAATTGTACTTTTCATTTTCATTTCATCATTTAGAATTTTAAAAACAAAAGTAAACCAGGTGTGGTGGTTCACAACTGTAACCCCAGCTACATGGGAGGCTGAGGTGGGAGGATCACAAATCTGAGGGCAGCTGGGGAACTTAGTGAGACCCTGTCTCAAAATAGAGAGAGAGATGCAGCTCGGTGACAGGGTGCTTACCTAGCATGCGCTAGCCCACTAGCCCCTGCGTTCAATCTCTAGTACTGTGCACATGCTGCACTTGCACGCATACACACACCCACACACACACACACAAAGATTTACCTAGGTAAGGGAAGTATGAAGCAAAGAGTGGAATTCTACCTAGAACATGCAGTTCTTCAGCCCAAGCTGAGTGTCCATCTTCTGGGGAGCTGCCCAGCTGGGGTCTCTTCAGCACTGGTTCACTAACTTGGGGAGCAAACTACATTTCTAAAAAGCACTTGGTGATTCAGAGGTAAATGGCCCCTGGACTATACTTTGAAAAATAGTGGTGTAAAGCCAAATTTGCACTTGAAACCAGGGAAATCATTTGATTCCAAACTGCTTTCTACAGAATGACTTTGTATGAATCCACGATTGCCAATGCTTCAGTTTTTTCAGACCGATACGGTGATTGTGGCAAGCAACAGTTTGGGCCTCTTTGGTCAAAATAATGCTCTGGCTGTTTTCTGACCCAGAAGCCAAGGTAACACAAGAAGCCTCTGTGAGTTGCTAGCTCAGCTCTAGGAGAAAGCTTGACTGAATTTCCATTTGAACTTTAAGCAGTAGCCCAATAACTTGAGGAAAATACTAGTGCTAAATACGGAAAAAAGCGAGCTTGCTTTAAAAACCAACGATCTTACCATAGTAGATCTATTTTAGATGGTACTGGCCCATGACTTTGGGGTTTTTGTTGTCATTGTCTGCTCTTACATTACAACATCCTTACTAGGGCTGGGGCTATCGTTCAGTGGTAGAGCATTTGCCTACCATGGGTTTGATCCCCACCACCAAGGAAAGAAAGCAAAGAAAAAACCTTTACGTTAGGTGATAATCACTCTCTTCAAAACTCCATTGACAAGTTTCAAATGGCACGGCATATGGAGTGAGTGGTACAGCATAGTCTAATGGGAACCTATTTCTTGGTTCAGCCCAGGCTGCATCTTCCCGTTGGTGGCAGACGCCCTTCTGCTCCGCACTACTCCAGGTCATGGGTCCTTGTGGAGTCTGCCAACCAAGATGCTCTCTGGCCAAAGATTCTGAATCTCTGACCTCAACAAGGCCAATCAGACATTTCCTGGAATTGGCATGCCAAACCAGGAAATCCTCACCAGCAGGAACAAGGTCTGCCTAGCACAGTGCCTGGTTATGAATATTCAGTGCCTGTGGGTTGAATGGATTACACAGAAAATCAGGCACCTTAAACAAATGCTGAACTAAGTCTATCATTTTCTAACAGAATTCTGGAGGGGGAGCAAATTGTATGATGTTTTGTAAGGGAAATGTCCACTTTAGTAACTAGGAAATGTGCATCGGAAACAGTACCCAAAGTTGCCATTTCTCTGTGCATTAAAGATGTCAATCAGTCCAATAAAATAAAGCCCCCCCAAAAAACAAAAGGAGAATTACCTCATTACCTCAACATCTGCTTGAACATAAGCAATCACGCACTGGTTAATTTTTTTTAAAGGGACATAATATAACTTTCTAGAAAGACAATAATATAGCTAATTATACCATTCACTAGAAGGGAACATACAATGTTTTGAAGTAATTCAGAAGTGGGTGTGATTTATAAGATACAGAGCTTAGGGAATGGTAAGTAGAAATTAGAGATTGTTCATATTATGACAGTCTCCGTCATTACATTTCACAACTTTTGTCAAAAGCAACCTTATTCACCACACCACTGACGGCTTCACATTAGGGAGGGCTGCTGTCAGCTCTGCAGTTGAGAGCAGAGAGAAGCCTTATTTCTGCGCAGCCCCACGGGGAATGGGTTCAAAAGGAGCCACGTGATGAAACCCAAATCCCCAATAAACAGGTAAAAAGACTGCAAACTTCACTAGTAAGCAGGGCAATATAAATTGTAAATGGCACCATTGTGCCCATTAGATTGGCAAAAATTCAGAGACCTATCAGGCTGTCAAATTACTAAAGATTGTTATTACCAATGTTAATCAGAATGTGGGGATATGTGCACTGCTGGGGGATGTGGACTCCACAGCCATTGTGGGGGGCATTTTTGCACTCTCTAGCAAACCCTTTTATGTGCATGCCCTCAAATCCAACAATTCAATTGCTAAGAATCTATACTAGAAAAATATGTAACCGTACACTCATTTACATAATTACTTGATTAATGATAATTTCATTGACTTAGTAAGAACAAGAATTACCAGGTTTACTATCTGAACTCCCCCAGTCTAGCACATGGGCCTCATATGTAAGAACTAGGTATTTGTTAAAGGAAATAAAAACATACATTTATTCAACATTTAAAAAGAAAAACAGAGTAACAATGGTTCTTTTTGTTCATATTAAATAGGAGTAGTGGAATTATCACACACAATGTTAACAGATAGTACAAACCATCCGTTTATAAAATTTATTATAATATTGGTAAGTACCCAAAGAGCCTGAGTTTTCATCTTAAATCATTAGCTTCCCAGTTAGTTACACAGGTTCAACAACAATTAAATACTCTTGAAAGAAGCCAACTGTTAGCACAGGCAATGATCCAATGGCAAATGCTCTGGTTCGGGGATTTATAAAGATCACATTGTGGGGTGAAAAAAATCCTAGCACCTGTGTAACCAGACTCATTATCCTTTTGAAAGAAAGACTATACTTTTCTTTTTTTTTTTGGTACCGGGGATCGAACTCAGGACCTTGCACTTGCGAGGCAGGTGGTGGAACCACTGAGCTAAATCCCCGGCCCAGAAAGACTATCTATACTTTTAAGAAACAAATTTCACCAGGCATAGTGGCAGACACCTGTAATCCTAGCACTCAGGGAGGCAGAGGCAGGAGGATCACAAGTTAGCAACTTAACAAGAGCTTGTTTCAAAATAATAAAAGGGGCTGGGGATATAGGTCAATGTGAAGGTCCTGGGATCAACCCCCAGTATCCCCTCACCAAAAAAAAGAAGAAAAGAACCACAGATTTCAAAAGCACACTGTTCTATTACCTCTGATATGTCCTTAAGGAAATGTAGCCTCTAAAAATACCAATACCATGGATTTTTTTTCCAATAAAATAAAAAGCCAAAAACTTGAAAGTCTTCCCTTTTTTGCAGCCCTTAATTCAACACAAACAGAAAAATGTGTTCCAAAATCAAATGGAAACAACTTATGAATTATCTGCACTGTTAAAATTATACACAGAATGAAAGAGGTAAAATTTTTATTGTATTATTACTGGATCTGATTTCCACTGCTATTCCTAATAATAAAAGTTTGGAATATGAATCAAGAGTTTTTAAATTATGGGACAGAAGATGTTTTTAAAAATAAAATACTAGGGCCAGGGATCTAGCTCAGTGGTTCTGCCGCCTGCTTCGCAAGCGCAAGGACCCAAGTTCGATCCCTGGTACCAAATAAATAAATAAATAGAAAAGAATAGAATAGAATACTAGTAGAATTCAGCCATCACTGAAACATTTGAGAGATTCCAGATAATGGCACTCTGGTCCTTGTAACTTTATGACTTCAGGCTAATCTGAGAGGTGAAAGGGCTGGGAAGGTCAAAGAGATAAACTTTTACTCAACACTTCCTAGATGCTGGATATCACAGGGAAATGTGTTTATGTCCATTTCAGTAAGGGTAAGTAACTTCCCTAAGCTCACACAATGCAGTCCCATTGAGGCTTGTTTGTCAGGAGGGTGGATTCCACAGGGATCCAGGCAGCCTCACAGATGGGATGTTCGCGGGTTCAAGGAGCAACAGGTCGGAGTCCTGGGCAGGATCTCCTGAAGTCATGTGGCTTAAGCTTCCTCTTTAGTAAGGTAGGGTCTCATTCACCACAAGATCCAAGGAAGGGAACAGACTCCTAAGTTCACAAAGCTAGGAAGCTAAGCCAAGAAAAGCAAGAGAGCTGGGACTAAACAAGTTTAGCCACGGAGCAGGACCCTTAGGCTGTATGGCCCCGAGAGGAAGTCTCTCAGAAAAGCACCTGTCCCAGCACACTTTCACTTCCTAAATCTGGATGGTTCTTGCTCCTTTTGACCTATATTCCCAAACCACCCTTTGGTCATTGTAATCATAATTTTTTTAAAAATGCATTAGGTTAGCACTGGCTCTCTGATCTGGCTTTGTTCACAAGTGTGGCAACTGATGAAAATGATCGATTGAAGCAGCTCTTTATTAAAGGATAATTCACAGTTGCCAAGCAGCAGAGACATGCGTGCACAGGGCCTGGGCTCTCCTGCCCCAAGCGCCAACGCTCTTCGCTTAGGAAGCCCAACACAGGCAGAGTGTTGACCCAATGACTAATAAATTGCTAAAAAGGGGAAGTGATAATAACACATCCTGGGCTGAAAAATCCCAGCTGGGTAATGAAAGAGGAACTAGACCAAACCCCAAGGAAAACTGGAAAGGTTGTGAAGCAGCACCGCAGGCCCAGGGGCGCCAGAACTGCGCCAGGGCGGGGCACAGCTCGGAGTGTGGCCGGCTGAGCCGCCCGCGATCCCGCGTGGAAGCGGAGCCCTGTGACCTGGTCCGCGCCGCATCCTCGTCCCTGCCCCACCCCGACCCCCGACCCCCGACCCCGACCGCCCACGGTGTCTCGCGCGCGGTTGCCCAGGCCCGGCCCGGCTCTCCCGGAGACTCGCACCTCCTCCTCGGCTCTCCAGGGCGCGCAGGGCCCTTCCCCGCGGCGCCGGAGTCCCCGGGCGACCCCGCCAGGCCCGCACCTGCCGCACCCCCTTCTCGCCCCGGCCGCGGCTCCCACACCTGGCGCCCCCGGCCCACCTACCTTGCTCCTTCAGGCTGGTGATGAGCTGCAGCTGCTTCTCCTCGTCCGAGCTGTTCATTTTGGCGGGTGGGGCTGGGAATAAAAGGAAAAGAGGGAGCGGCGAGGGGGACACGGGGGAGGGGGAAGAAAAAGCAAGATGCCGGTGGCGTGCGGCTGCACTACCCGGAAGTTGGTTTCGCTCCCGCTCCTCCTCCTCCTGGCGCGGAGCGCGCGGGTGAGATCATTCCCGCGCACCTACCCGCGGCCGCTGCACCTGAAGCGGGCGGGAGACGGCGGGGACGGCGCGGGGCGGGAAGGGCGCCCCAGCCTGCGGCGATCGCGCGGCCGTGACCCTCCCGGAGCCCGGCGCCCAGGACGCGCAGGCGGGCGGGGTCGCGCTGCCGCCCCGTGGGCTCTACTGGCCTCTGCCGGGCCGAGAAAACCCGCCGCGGCTTCGCAGCGCCTGTGGGAACCCAGCTCTGGAAGCTGAGGGCCGCGCCCCCAGGAGCCGTGGGCTAGGAAAGGGCAGTGACGGACGGAGCGCCGAGGCTCCTTTCCAGGTCCTCACGCGGAGCTCTCAGGACCCGCCGGCCTGGCTGTCCGACGCGGTCCACCTGGCAGAGCAGGACCAGGACCCAAACCCTCCAGTCTGCCCTGCAGGGGCACAGAGGGGCAGTCTAGTTAGGTCACCAGTGCGGGGTGAGGGGGCCTGTAGTCGGGTCACCGTTACCAAGGGCCCCAGTGGGCTTTCCTCCGCCGCGCCAAGTTGGAGAAGGGATATGAACGTGGGCCCTGCTGCGCGCGGATCGCCGGGCCTGGAGGGCCCACGCGGGTCATCTGGTTCGCATGGGAGGAGGACCTTCGCTGGAGGGAGGTGGCCACTGCTGTCCCAATGCCCAAGGTCACATGGCTGCCTGGCAGCAGAAGCTGGCATTGTGAAATGAAGCCCTGCACTGGCCTCCTCTGCGCTTTTTAAACCGGGCTTTGGTAGACTGGATCAGGAGAGAAGCAAGGGTCTCTGCCTGCTCCAAAGCAGTTCTCCCCAAGCCCTAGCTGTTGGCTAACCTTTGGTAAAGTCTCCTACAGTCTTTGAACTTCATCTAGAGGATAGGAGTAATAATAATAATAGCTACATTCCAGGAGGATTTGTAAGGATTGAACAGGGGGAGAAAAATGATCAAAACACCAAAACCAGAATTCAGCATATAGTAGTGTTTTTTTTTTGTTTTTTTTTTTAAGATTACGGGTCTTAGCAGTGATGGTTGGTAATTATAAGCTGAAACATGCACAGGTCTTTTACACTGCTCATTAAGCATCCAAGCCCAACCCACACTGAAGCAGACCTACCGCATGCCTTGGTTTTTCTGTCTCTAGACTCCGGTAGCACAGTGCTTCTGCTCATTCCTGATATGCAAATGTTCAAGGCCACTTACCATGTCCCTCTCTCCAGGATAGAGAGGAAGGCTGGTATTCTGGTAAGTCATGTAACTATTATCTTTGTGGTACTTGTCATTAAATCCTAACCCAAAATAAATTTTGAAAACAAAAATGATAGTACCTTCTTCCTTTCTGAAATGGTAATACAGTAGCTTAGCATGAGTAATTTAGTGGTAGAATGGTCTAAACGGCCAACATAGTATTTTTAAATAGATTGAATTAAATTACTGCAACCTTAAAAAGAGTTTTGGTGTGGGGTTTTTCTTAGTCAAATCTTTCCCTTATGATAGTTCAAAATGCTGGCAGGTCAGCTGTCAGGAATGTCCTGAGAAGATAATTGTAGGGCCTTTGCCCTGAAATTGTATTTTAGGCCTTCTTTCAGAGTTGAAGTAAGAGGCAGAAAATGTGAGACAGTTCAGTCTCAACTACGTGAAAATATGAATGTGTATTTCTACTGGGTATTTTGTGGGAAGAGAAATAATTTCATTCTTGAAAAAAACACAGAGATCTGAGTGCAAATCATGACCATCTAGCTTTTATAGGGAGCCAGGAAATATGTTAATTCTGAGGTATCATCCTGACTGTGAGGGAGGAGCCCCCTCTTAACCTAGAAATGTTTTCTCACACCCTACCAAATATAAGCAGAATGTCCATCCAATATTTGGATTAGATTACAAAATTCCATTCTTTTAAATGACTGATTTAGTTGTCTTTGCCAATTATGCTATAGTTAGGTAATATTTTTGGAGTTTAAGAATGAATTAATTAAGCCAAGCATGTAATCCCAGCACTTGGGAGGCTGAGGCAGGAGGATTGTTGTGAGTTCCAGGCCAGCCTGGGCTACATAGTGAGTTCAAGGCCAGTGTGAACTTCATAATGAGACCCTGCCTCAAAAAAACCTAAAAGTTAATTATGAAATTGAGTTTTTTAATCCCACGTTGAATCTGCAGCCTCTTGAAATTAATCCCATTTACCCTATTGAAATTCAAATAACTACCTGAAATACAATATGATATCCCGAGGGCATGGTATGAATTATTAGGATGGCTATTAGAATCACTTATTGAAATTCAGATCTCCCATTACATTATGGTTTATTTATATGATGTGAATATTGATGGGAAGTGATATAATTAGTTTTTGTTCTCTTTAATAATACACATAGGGTTATATGTTGCAGGCATCACATTGGAGGTATTATTAACCCCCAAAACATGTAACTTCAAAAAACCTTTAAAATTCAGGTTACATGTACATACGTAAACACACATTCATGCACCTATGTAGAGGAGAGAAACTTTCTAAAAATTAACTGAAAGGATTTGTATGAAACACAAGATCATGAATAGGAAGTAGAGGAACAGGCCCAGGTGGTGAGGGTGGAAAGTTTAAGAGAAAAAGGATTTTTTCTTAAACACGCGTTCTATGCTAAAGAGTCCGCCCTAAAAGGTATGAGTACAACAGCTATTTACTTAAGGTCAGTTATGATATAAATTGGCAACACTGGAATTTTATTTGACAAAATAAAAAAATATTACCCATGATACAACATAGATGAACTTTGAAAGCACACTGGGTGGAAAAAGCCAGCCAGAAAAGCCCAGGTGTTGTATCTACATCTGCATATTGTATTGCATCTACATATTTGACAATCTTGACCATAGAGAAAGTGATTTCTACCCAACTCATAGTTGGGGGTGGGTGGGGCTTGGGAGAAAACAGGAAATGGGTATTGACTATAGTTATATACTAAAGTGTACACTTTACATGGGAGAGTTTGATAGTATATGAATCATATCCCAATATAGCTATACTAAAACTGATTTTCAAGGAAGAAAACCTGCCTTAATATACCATTTGTAAAACTATTTAATATGTTTCTCACAAAAATATTTTTAATTTTTCAAATATTTGTGTACATAGTACTTTGTCCTACTCTTACTTTTTATTGATACATGTTTATAGTACGTAATGTTTCCATTCCCTGTGTGGAGTTGGCACATGTACATAACACATCTTAATTCTTTTTTTCATCTCCTTTTCTCCCACCCCCTTTCTATCTTTTGATCCCTTCCCATTTGAGAAAGATTATCTTTTATTTTTATTTATATTTTGGGTTTCTCATATAAAAGATTTAAACTTGTGTGTCTGATTTATTTCATTTAACATTATGGTCGCAAGATGCATCCATTTTCCTAAAATTACTCAAGTTTGTTTTTCTTTATGGCAGAGCAGTACTCCATTGTGTGTAAATACCATATCTTTTCATCCATTCTGCTGATGGACATATAGTCTACTTCCAAGAATTAGCTATTATGAATTGCACTGCTGTAGATGTGGGTATGTGTGTGTCACTGTAATATGATGTCTTTAACTCTTTTGGGAAGATACCTAGAAGGGAAATAGCTGGGTCAAACAGGATTTCTAGTATCAATTTTTTGAGGACTCTCTATACTGATTTCCATAGTGGTTGTACTAGTTTACATTCCCACCAACAGTGTAGATAAGTTCCTTTTTCCCTGCAGCATCACCAGCATTTGTTAGTATTTAATTTCTTGATGATGGCCACTTTTTTCTGGAGTAAGATAGAATCTCATTGTTGTTTTAATTTGCATTTCTGTAATGGCCACTGATGTTGACCATTTCTTCATATGTTTATTGGCTATTTGTACTTCTGAGAAGTGTCTATTCATTTCACTTGCCCATTTTTTGATTGGGTCTTTTATTTTGGGGGGTCTCATTTTTCTTTTTTTTCTTTTTTTTTAAAGGAGAAAAGGCTTACTTGGCTCACAGTTTCCAAAGGGTGCAGTACAAAGTTGGCTGCCTCCAAGGCAGAAACATGGCAGAAGGGCCTGGCAGCAAAAAACTGCTTACCCCATGGGAGCCAGGAAGCAGGGAGAGAAGGGAAGACACAGGAACAAAAATACATCCATTCTTCCAAGTCAGGCCCTCAGTGACTCAGCTCCAACAGCCCCCTTCTCCTGACAGCCATTCATCTATGAACTCATCAATGAATGAATCACTGCTGAGTGTGGTGCCCTCCTGACCCAGTCACCTTCCAACCACATGCAACTTTGAGAGACATTTTAGGTCTAAACTGTAAGACTTACCATGTTATTTTTTCCTTCCTAATGTTCCAAGGTTCTTTCTATTGTTTCTTTTCTCTATTTAAAGAACTTTCTCTAGCCATTCCCATAGGATACCTCTTAGGGTAACAAATTTATTTTAGCTTTTCTTCATCTAAGACTAACTTGATATCCTCCCACCAGGTGTAGGAATCTGTGCTGACCATTCTTTCAGCACTTGAAAAACATCATGCCATGTTTTCCATAGGTTCTATGAGATGTATGCTGTCATCCAAATCATTTTGTTTCTCCCTGTAGATAGAGTATCATTATTCCATTGGCTGCTTTCAACATATTTTCTTTGTCATTTCAGAAGCTTAAGTATGATCTATTTTGATGGATTCCTTTGAAGTTTTCCTATTTGGAATTCATTTTGTATCTTGAATTAGTAGATTTGTATCTCTCACCAATTTTGAAAAGTTACCTCCCATTATTTCTTCAAGTTCTTTTTGACACCAATCTCTTTTCCTTCACCTTCTGAAACTTTAATATTACAAGTGTTAGGTCTTTTTTTACAGTCCCACAGGTCTTTGAGGCTCTGTTCACTTTTTTTCCCATCCCCTTTTGGTCTATTGTTCATATTGGGCAATTTCTATTTTTCTATCTTCCAGTTTATTCATGCCATTCTGCTGCTCAACCTACCTACTAAGCCTTTTATTTTGATTACTGTTATGACTTGTGTCTAGATATCATCCCAAAGCCTCATGCAGTCATAGGTGGAGCTTTTCA